GGAGAAGCCATGTAGCATTGGTTGAAGGACTAAAAATGAAAAGAATATCAATAATAGTTTTATTTAACCTTGATGAGGACAACAAAACACATGTAACTTTAAAAGAAAGCACTAGTTTGTGGTACATTTTGCCTAGAAGTGACATCTCTCATCCTGAAGGGAAGGTAGAGGAAAACTTGAAATTGGTCAGATTATTGTATTGTTCTGCTCTGATGTACACACATTACTATCGCCAAGCTGTAAAGCTGACAAATTACCTATATTGGACTCACACACAGGTACAAGTGTCTCCCAGTCATCTTGTTGACAGATACAATTTTCCCCATCAGTTTCCATCCCCTTAACAGAAGATAATTCAGCTCTGTAAGGGACATAGAGTTTAGATACAGGTAACTTGAAATTGACATACCCAGTAAGCAAAGGTGGAAGGACTTCTGGGAATTTCCAGTGGGTAGAGGAATGTAAAGATAAATGAGGTGTGATTCCTGCAATCAAGGGACAGGAGAGACAGGTGTTCAGCTAGCTCTTCTGACACAATGTGGTAAATGCTATAAAAACATTGTGATCACAGTGTGCTTTAAGGAGCCAGGATTTCACATTTTGGACATGAGGTGAAATGGAAAGGCAGGTGTCCCCAGGTGACAAGGTTGGATAGTATCTCTTATGAGCAAGAAAATGTCACTATAGGTTTAAAAACCTGCTTAAAAGCAAAGCAGTGGCATGTTTTAACCTGTGTGTTAGAACTGGAGTCCTTGGTGGCAAGGAGACCCTAGTTAGGTGGCCAATGTAAGTAACTTGTTAAGTTAATTGAGAAAATAAGATTCATGATAACATTATAAAAGAGAAACAAATTTCCAGGTCACCCCAAAAAAAAGAAAAAGTTGCATCGCCTACCCCATCCCTACCCTCCCTTCCTGGAATACTTGACTTTAAAGAGGAAACACAATCCTCTGGATAAGTTCTGGTCCAGCAGTCGGTCCTACACCTCTAGGTCTGGTACACAGTGTTGAAGTCCATGTCAACATACAAGCCTGCAGCCGGAGAGCATTGGAAATCCTCAGGGGCCACCTGGCCTGACCATATACCATTTCTCTGTCCTCCTGCCACTTTTTATTCTCTTGCCTGTGTTTTTAGAGTACTCTCTAGCTTCCAGATACAAGAAGTTCTTAAATAAAAATAAGGTATTTATCAATGTTTTTAGTCCCATAGAACTTTGAAAAGTAACAACTTAATCCAAGCCATAAAATAGTGATTCATGTAGTAAAGCTTGAAGTTTCAACTTTCTAAATAGAAATTGCTACCTAACAATCACAGCTCTTTAACATCAGACTTTATCTCCATTATATTCCAAGATTCAGTTTATATCAGTTTCCACATGTTCTAACCTAAAATGGCCTCTATATTGAACATTTTTGCTAAGTAAGGTAAATATTTTAGAATACATACTGAAGGAGAAATGTAGCCCCCAATGCAGTGTATCATTTTGATGATGGTGACAGTGACAATAATGATGATAGTTATAACAGGAACTTTGTATTGTTAATATTATATGCCAGGCACTGTTATAAACATGTACATTTATAAGCCCATTTGAAACAATAACACAATGAGGTAACAATAATTCCCCTTTGAAAGATGCATGATTAGAAGCACAGAGAATGTAACTAATTTGCTCGAGAACACACAGCTAATAAATGATGGGTTCAGGCTTAAACTCTGTCTTGCTCTAGAGTTCATGGTTTTAAGTCACTAAGCTATGCTCCTTGTCTTTGATATTTTAAATACCCTGTGCTTTGATATTTGGACGAAGTAAAATGTTCAAAATTTCAGCTTTAAAAATATGAGTCTGACAGCCTGAAGAATCTCTTTTAACTGTCCTTTTCCATGACTTGCCATCTAGTTCTAGATGTAAGTCGTTATTATGCCTAGCTATGAAGTATACGTTTGCCTTTGGTACTCATGTCAGGTAAAAATACTAGGTCATTAAGTATGAAATGAAATGAATCAAAAGTAGTTTATTATATCTCAAACAAGAAGCAGTACAATTAATCAAAGTACATGCCAGAACTGTCGACACAATTTTGCCATCTTAACGGTAGCTTGTTTATGCCAGCAGCGAAGAATCCTGGAGAGTGGCAATGAAATCACGAAAGGCGTTTTCCACAGTTGGTTGAGAATTGAGGATTTTTCCTTGCAAAAATTGGTTGAAAGCCTGGAGAAGTGGTAGTCAGTTGGTGCAA